GACAGGGGGACAGCTTGCTGTTGGGATGGGAGACAGGGGGGACAGAGGTGGGGGACAGCTTGCTGTGAGGATAGGAGACGGGTCGGGGACATCTGTGGGAATGGGGGACGGAGGACAGCTTGCTGTTGGGATGGGAGACGGGGGGACAGAGGTGGGGGACAGCTTGCTGTTGGGATGGGAGATGGGGGACAGAGGTGGGGGACAGCTTGCTGTGAGGATAGGAGATGGGTCGGGGACATCTGCTGTGGGAATGGGGACAGGGTGAGGACAGCCTGCTGTGGGCCCTGGGGGTGGGTGGGAAGTGAGCAAGCGGACAGTCTACTGTGGGCCAGAGGTAGGGGTTGGGGCAATCTGATGTGGGGACCAGACCTGTCCAGTTGCTGCAGCCCCCTAGCCGCAGCTGCAGCTGACAGGAGCGGCATCTAACACTGCCCAGAGCAACACTGTTGACAGCACCATAACGAAGGGCAGTTTAGGCCTGAAGTTGACCAGCGGTGACCTTCCAGAGACATCAGGTAGAACACAGCTGGGCATGCACATGACTTTGGAGCCCTCGGACCAGCCCGCAACCAGGAGCATCAGAGGGCAGTGAGGAGTGTCTCGGAGGGAGTAGCAGAGAGGAAAGGGAACGGGGAGGAGGGAACTGTCCCACCCTCAGAGGGAAGACATGGTGAATGCCCCCTCCAAGAACCTTTCACCAGGACCCATCACCAGGACCTGAGGGAAGCCGAATATCAAATGTACTAATAGTAGACCAAATGCTCTATCAGGAAATGAGGGAGGCTTAATACAAGCTGAAGGCCACCTTGTGGCACTAAGGTGTTCCCTAAGAGTCAACATTGTTCTTAGTTTGTATCAACTGAATCCCTCCCTCCTGAGATTAGCATAAAGAGGAACTTGGCCTTATCTGTAAAAGACTTCACCATTATCCTTTGTTTTGTTTTGTACTTATGATTTTGCTTTGTTTACCTTGCTTATGATTCTAAATAAATACTCAGAGAAGCATGGCTTGGGGCCTTCAGTTATGGGAACTGCTGGCCCCCTGTTTTTCCCACTCTCTGTTCTATATCATTCCTGGTACTCTGTCTCATTATTAATAATTATAAAATTATTTCATTCTTTTGGACCCTCGGTCTGCAACAAGGACCTGTCCCCAGGACCCATCAACAAAACCTGTCCCTCAGGACCTGCCCCCAGGGCTCTTGATCAGGCTCTGTCTCAGGACTCGTTACCAAGACCTGCTTGCTGCCGGCCCCACACAAGGACGCATCAAATAAACTGTCCCTGAGGGCCTGGTCACTGAAGTGACACCACACCTATCACTCCTAGTGTTCCCCTCACCCATCACCCCTAATGTACCCCTCACACCCCATCACCCCTAATGCACCCCTCACTCCATCACCCCAGTGCACCCCTCTCCCCCATCACCTCATCACTCCAGTGTACCCCACACCTTCACCCCTAGTGCACCCCTCACCCCATCACCTTTCGTGAACCCCTCACACCCTATCACCCCAGTGCATCCCTCACCTCATCACCCCTAGTGCACCCCTCTCCCCATCACGCCTAGTGCACCCCTCTTCCCATCACCCCATCACTCCAGTGCACCCCTCACCCCATCACCTTTCGTGAACCCCTCACACCCCATCACCCCTAGTGCACCCCTCACCCCCATAACTCCTAGTAATCCAGTCACCCCCTACAACCACCTCAGGTGTTCTCATCACACCTTTATCTTTCCTGAGTGTATTACTCACAGCCAATCACGATCCATAAATCAAAGTGTGGACAGGAGCACTTGGCCCAGTCTTGAGTAAACACACAAAGCCATCACTGTCACAGAGGGAAAGTGTCTGCCCTCACCTGACCACTCAGAAACCTGCTGGGAGTGAGCCATGTGGGCCAGGTGAACGGCAGGGCAGGCGGGGACTGCGTGGCCCAGGAGTGGGCAGACGGGAGTGTCGGACACTGGTGTAGGTCCTCCACTGTGGATCCACACCCGCTCCTCTCAGGCCCCCATTGCAGCCTGGAGGACAGTGTGGAGAGGCAGGCAGCAGGCAGCATGACCACACACTGAGCAGAGGGCCTGCAGTGTGTCT